AGACCTGTCACTTAATTTTCAGATGGAGTGATAATGCTGCTACTTGCTCTGAGGGGCTGATGAATTACCCTAAGGTGGGAACTATGCCACAAGTTAGTTATGTCCATGAAATGAGCTCTGATCACGGGCCCGGGAGGGGAACCTCAATAAAATCAGAGAGGAAGACAACGCACTTTTTCTTGGGGAGCCATTTTTCCTTTTCTTTTCCACTCTATTAGCAGGTGGAGCTGTTGCAGGGTCGAAGGGACAGGCCACTCTTGGGGGCTTTTTGGAATCAGGCTGACCTGCGCTCGCACCTACCGTTGCCAGGAGGGACTGCAGCTCGATCTCCAGTGTCTGCAGGGTGCGCTTCATCTCCGTCAGCTCCGTCCTGGCGGAGGTGGCTGCCCCAGCGTCGTCGAAGATCTGCTGCTGCAGCGTGGCGCTCTGGAAGGCAGGGCGCGGAGGGTCACACGAAGTCCGAACTCGCCAGGGTGGTGTGGGTGGGTCGGGGGGCGGGGGCGCTGACCTCACCTTCTCCTGGAACCAGGCCTCAGCGTCCCTGCGGTTCTGCTCAGCCAGGGCCTCGTACTCGGCTCGCATGTTGCCCAGCAGCACCGTGAGGTCCACCCCGGGGGCGGCGTTCATCTCCACATTCACGTTGCCTCCTGCGGCGCACTGCAGAACCTGCATTTCCTAGGGGGGAACGCGAGGGTGCTCACCTGCAGCCCGAAGAGAGTTCTGGAATCGGCTTATTCCACCCATGTTTATGCCAGTCATCTATTTAATTAGTTATTTGTTCATTAAAACAACCATGACCACCACTTCCGCGCAAAGCGGACGTTTTTCATTCTTTTCCATGAGAAGGGACTACAAAGATCAGAGAGCTATTCACCACATAATCGTTGACTTCATGGTTGATAGAAATAAAGTGGGGAAAAAAAAAAATAAAAATCCGAGCCTTTGGAACTTTCATCTTAGGGACAGCAGCAATTATTTATTGAATGATTATTATATGCCAGGCACGGTTTTACGCACTGTCTTCATGTGTACTGATTCAAGACTTTCATCATCCCTCTAAGGTAGGTACTAATACTACTATTATTATTATTATTTTACAGATTAGGAAACTGAGGCACAAAGAGGTGAAATAACACGCCTGAGTCACTAGGATTTGAAAGAGGGCAGTTTGAAGATGGCACTCTGGCTCCTGAGTATCTGTTCTGAGCAACTATACAGGACAGCCTCTCTGTTCCAGGATAGGTCAAGGGGCAGATCATGAATCTGCCTGATAAAGTCAGAGAAAGGGCTTCTGAACCGAGAAACAAACCAGTGGCCTGAACTTAGTTCTTTGGGTGGCTGACCTTTTCATTTGAAGGACTGATATCCCTGCTTCCTTAAGCCATTTTTTTTTATGATTCTAAATCTATGACCTTCAGTGCATTGATCAAGGAAACCACTATTAATCTATTTTCATATTTTGAGTAAGATTCTGTGGTGAAGAAAAAAATTCTTGTTACTCTAAAAATTTGAAAATGGAGTTGCTTGAAGTTCTACACTCCGTGCTTTCAAAGGCACCCTTTTTCAGTAGGTGTATCTTATCTCTAAGGGGCCAATGAAACCTGC